TACAAGTCTGACAGTTCCCTCGCTCTCCTTAGACACATGAATTATTACTCTACCCATTTTACAAGTCTGACAGTTCCCTCGCTCTCCTTAGACACATGAACTATTACTCTAACCATTGTACAAGTCTGACAGTTCCCTCGCTCTCCTTAGACACATGGATTATTACTCTACCCATTTTACAAGTCTGACAGTTTCCTCGCACTCCTTAGACACAGGAATGCAAGAAAAACTAGCATGTACCTAAATATTACACTTGTTCTGTCTGATTTTTTTTTTCATCATAAATTGTTTTTGTTTATTTCAGTTACGCTCCACAATGCAGTTCCATTTATCGGCTTTGGATTTCTAGACAACTTCATCATGATCATGGCGGTAAGTTATACCCGGTACTCTATTTTAGTTTCTATAGTGTATTGTTTTGCTCGTGAATGTGGACATTGCTTACAGCTATATGATACTCAGAGAAGCAAAACTCATATCAACGTACAATTTCGTCTATATATGATGTTCCAAATGCCATAATTTATTTAAGTATTTACAAAGCCAAACCTTGCTAAGAGATTGTAACTAATTGGGAAGATAAAAAATTGAAAAGTTTGATATATGAAATAACGTAAAAATTAAGGTTTTATTTGACAAAAAAGGAACTTTGACATAAATTGGGTATTCCATGTATCAAAGGTGTAACTATGGAGATTTGACTTTAAAGCAGTTGTATAATGGTACAAACTTAGAATAGAAATGTCGTAGCCGTGTTGCTTCCTGTTTTTGTGCGTACCTTGATGTTTTTGCTCTACCGATTGAAGTACACGTAACAGAATCGTTCATTAATTGCGTCTTTCAGTTAAAAATGTTCTAATTAGAAGATGACTAGATTTCGATCGATCCATGCAGGTCTCCACATCTTGATTAGATAGGGGATTACAAGTGACCTTAAAACACTACTTCATTCTGGAGTTATTTCTGGATCAGCAGGGAGGGGGAGGAGAGAGGGGGAAAATGTTATTTCTGACCAGTTTCTTGAAGCATCAATCTCCTTCAGCTGATTTTCCCCACAAAACGTGATGTTCATTCTTCTTTTACTTTATAACACAGCAAAATGATGTTTTTTCAGGAATGGTTCATAATCACATTCTATTGGGATTTCTTTGAACTTTTTTTAATAGTTCAAACTTCCATTCCTATATATAGCTTGCAAAATTTTTCATGATTAGACACAGACACACCACAACAGGATTGGCCTTTAAATTGGAAGCCAAGAGATCATTTGTCTTCCACAAAAAATGTGTTATTTCAAATTAAGATGTGTCGTCTGCCATTCTGTTTCTGATACCAATGCGACAGTCTAGACCTTTTGTCAATATTTCACAAGAAACATTCAATTGTCAATTTTCCACCGAAATGTCTCTGTAACTGCCATCGGAGAACCTGGCTGTAAATCGCTGTAATTTGGAATCTAATTTGGGACATTGTCATTCGTCAGCAAATCATTATAATGTCCTTGTCCACAGGTGGAAAATAAATCTTCAGTTTCTGACTCAAAGTATTGTATACCACACCACAGAGACCCAGTTGTGTATTGGGACATTGCAGTACCTGGGGATCAATGTTAATACATTCAGTCATTACCCTTCTATATTAATGTTGGAAATCTTCTTCAGAACTATGATAATCAGAGCTTTGATGTTTCATAATTAGTATGACCAAGGGGTTAACAATAATATGTGTTTATATATCTGAAAACTTTGAGATGAATAGCTAACCAACTATTTCCTTGAACTGCCCGATTCGCAAATTTCAATGTAAAATGAAATAATACAATTGTTAATAATATAACACATGATAAGTCCACTGGTCTGAATGATTTACGTGTAGCATGCACACTCACAATAATGAGATTTGTTTTATGAACAGTTTCTTCAGAACCTATATCATTTAAAAGCCAGAGCCCGTGTTTAAACAGACCAAAGGTGTACAAACAGTCGGATTTAATGATCGTTTTAACCAAGGCAAAGCAACTGATATGAAATAACACAAGGTAGTTTGGTTTGTTTGTGCTTTACGCCCTATTAACACCTATAGTCATTTTAAGTACGAGCCAGGTTTTGGTGGTGGAGGAAAGCTGGAGTTCCCGGAGAAAAACCACCGTCCTGTAGCCAGTACTTAGGGGGGATCCCCGCGTAGGTCTCGAACCCGCAACCACATTGGTGAAGGGCTAGTGATCATAGATGTCAGACAACTTAATCACACAGCCACTGCAGCCTACACAAGAAAATAAAAAGATAAAATACTGATAGCATATACACAACCATGCACTTACAGTTTTATTAAGGGGCACATACCGCTACCTTCCGGTTTTATCGCAGAGAAAATATGACCAGCATCGCAACATTTAATTGATTACCCTCGAAACAAGACCAGCATTATGTTTTTAACGGTCTTGTGTAATGAAGACAGATAGATTAGGGTCTACAGGTTGGATGGTTATCGTAGCCATCTTCATGTAACCTTCCCTCATCATATAAATAATTCAGCTGATACCTGCTGTGTTGTGGTTAGGACTGAACCTCGCCAGGTTATTCATGTCTGAACGGGGGAAACAAATCTATCGGGTATCGGTGAGAGGTTTAATGTGTGTGTTGTAACTGAAAGTTACTATTGAAATTTTCTATAGTACACATAGCACTGAGCTAAATGGGTTTGGGTTTTTTTACCATGGAAATTTCAATTTCATGGAGCTTTTTCCTTGTGAAGATAGTGTCTATAAATTGATATATTTGTTTTATGTCTACAGAAATGTTAACTATATATTTGTTTTATGTCTACAGAAATGATAACTATATATTTGTTTTATGTCTACAGAAATGTTTACTATATATTTGTTTTATGTCTACAAAAATGTTAACTATATATTTGTTTTATGGCTACAGAAATGTTAACTATATATCTGTTTTATGTCACAGAAATGTTAACTATATATTTGTTTTATGGCTACAGAAATGTTAACTATATATTTGTTTTTTGTCTACAGAAATGTTAACTATATACTTGTTTTATGTCACAGAAATGTTAACTATATATTTGATTTATGTCACAGAAATGTTAACTATATATTTGGTTTATGTCTACAGAAATGTTAACTATATAGTTGTTTTATGTCTACAGAAATGTTTTATGTCTACAGAAATGTTTTATGTCTACAGAAATGTTTTATGTCTACAGAAATGTTAACTATATATTTGTTTTATGTCACAGAAATGTTAACTATATCTTTGTTTTATGTCTACAGAAATGTTAACTATATATTTGTTTTATGTCTACAGAAATGTTAACTATATCTTTATTTTAAGCATTAGATGCATATTTGGTAGATGTTTACTCCGCATCGTTTTCCTCAAAAGTTATTTTGGAGAACCGTATGAATTTCTGAATAAAAATGATAAGAAGTTTTCTGAAATATTTAAACAGAATCAACTGTTTGTTCTACCTTCTATTCTGTGAAACACTAAACTGTCGTCGGTGATACCAGGTGTACCCGAAATATTATATCATAATATCTGAAGAATTCTGCATGTAAGAACAAAACAATAATGATCATGTTAGGAGCCGGATTACTAATACATCGTTACTGATACATCGTTACTGCAATGTAATGTTGATATGGTTTCCCTGTTTATATACAACTGTTTATGATATACCCGTTAGTAGATAGTGTTAATAAATTATATTCCTTAATAAACCCAGTTTTCAGGATCCTGCTTCTACAGTTTCGATTGACAGGATTTTTTTCTGCTGTTTTGCTCTAATCATGAGCTTGGTTTATGACAGAAATAATCATTCTCTAAGGTCGTGTTGAAGAGGACAATGAGATAGGTACCAGTTGATAAACTGGGTGTAAAGTAAAATAAACGTAAAGAAGACAATGAGGTACCAGTTGATAAACTGGGTGTAAAATAAACGCGAAGAAGACAATGCGGTACCAGTTGATAAACTGGGTGTAAAGTAAAATAAACGTAAAGAAGGCAATGAGGTACCAGTTGATAAACTGGGTGTGAAATAAACGCGAAGAAGACAATGAGGTCCCAGTCGATAAACTGGGTGTAAAATAAACGCGAAGAAGACAATGAGGTCCCAGTCGATAAACTGGGTGTAAAATAATCGCGAAGAAGACAATGAGGTACCAGTTGATAAACTGGGTGTAAAGTAAAATAAACGTAAAGAAGACAATGAGGTACCGGTTGATAAACTGGGTGTAAAATAAACGCGAAGAAGACAATGCGGTACCAGTTGATAAACTGGGTGTAAAGTAAAATAAACGTAAAGAAGGCAATGAGGTACCAGTTGATAAACTGGGTGGTAAATAAACGTAAAGAAGACAATGAGGTACCGGTTGATAAACTGGGTGTAAAATAAACGTAAAGAAGACAAGGAGGTACCAGCCGATAAACTGGGTGTAAAATAAACGCGAAGAAGACAATGCGGTACCAGTTGATAAACTGGGTGTAAAGTAAAATAAACGTAAAGAAGGCAATGAGGTACCAGTTGATAAACTGGGTGTAAAGTAAAATAAACGTAAAGAAGGCAATGAGGTACCAGTTGATAAACTGGGTGTGAAATAAACGCGAAGAAGACAATGAGGTCCCAGTCGATAAACTGGGTGTAAAATAATCGCGAAGAAGACAATGAGGTACCAGTCCATAAACTGGGGGTGAAATAAACGTTAAGAAGACAATGAGGTACCAGTTGATAAACTGGGTGTAAAATAAATGTGAAGAAGACCTGTGGCGAAGAGAAACTCTGGTAGAATTAATTAACATACAGCAGTTACGCCAGAAGTTGTCATAGTGACGAAACAATACCTGTATGCTGGAACCGTCTTAGAAATAAATACCTGTGTGCTGAGACCATCTTAGAAAACAATACCTATATGCTGGAACCGTCCTAGAAAACAATACCTGTATGCTGGAACCGTCTTAGAAAACAATACCTGTATGCTGGAACCGTTTTAGAAAACAATACCTGGATGCTGGAACCGTTTTAGAAAACAATACCTGGATGCTGGAACCGTCTTAGAAAACAACACCTGGATGCTGGAACCATCTTAGAAAACACTAGCTCCTGTTACATGGCAGTGATGAAGCTGGTTGAAGTGTCAATTTGTTCCCGATAGGAATTTAAAGTACAATGTACTTTAACTAAACACAAAAACATGTTTTATTGTACAACATACTCAATCTCGTTTCTGTTTAATTTCCCTAACAACAAACTATGTTTCCTCCATATTTTTACATTTAACTTTTACCATTATTTATTACTATTTATGTATTTATCATAACCATTAGCCTATCTGGCCAAAAGTGTCTGGTGTGAGATTTTATGGATGATGCGGTATGCATTTTTCCTATGTCAACTTCTTCATCAGAACCATAGTTCCAAAAGACTTGATATCAAGCATATAACTTGCTGAGTTAAAGAGTTATCAAATTTGAAAAGTGAATGACTATATGATATGTTAAACTCTGCATAAAACATTTTGCAGAGAACCATAAAGCCTACAGTTTCAATATTGGACATTAAGTTTACCGGGCTGGAGGGCTATCCCAGGTGTAATAGATAACTTACCATGTTACAGGAGTTACATGTGTGTTAAAAATATCAATAACAAATGCAAAAACATGTTAATAATTAAATTGCAAATGAATTACAGAAATAATGATAGTAGTATTTTCAAAGCAACCTGATCCTTTTTCAAGACAACATGAATACCACATGTTACAATTAAACATAATATAATGTTTATCTTTTATATTAAATTACAGGTATATAACACACTTTAATATAAAATCTGCACATCATCAACAATTACAGCTCCGATATCAGTCCCTTCAATTCAAATCCTATGTAATGCTGTTAGCGTATTAGGATATTAAGTCTTCGTAAAAATCAATGTTTAAATATCTAATCCAATTTGTGTGTTTCAGGGGGAATACATTGACACTTACTTTGGCGCTGCACTCGGCATTTCTACCATGGCAGGTACGTAATACAAAACGCCATGGCAACAAAACCTCTGCAAATTGTTATCAAAAGTTACGAGGTAATCTGTAAGAAATCTGTTGGGAAGTTGGAGTTTGAAACACCGCTGTTTATGGCCCGACTACAAAATATGGATGAGATAATTATCGGAAACAGATTACTGTATGTGATGAATACAAATTACTGTGAATTAGGTATAATTTTATTAATTATTGTTCTGGATTTTGTTCTCCGCTGCTTATTGACAATTTGAATCTGTAAAAGGAGCAATAAAAGAGATATTTGTATTTAGTGACTCGATCACTACATGTTTCATTCATGAAATATTAAAAAATTATGTTCATTTCTGCTCTCAAACTGGTACACACATCAAATTAAACAGTCACACGTGTATCTAGATCTACCACCTTTACAACATCCTTCAAGAGCTTGAGGTGGAGTTAGTTTTGGAGGTGGTCCCTCAATACAGGTTAAGTTGGCAGAAAAAACAATGATGGGGAGTTGTACAGATGGTCTCTAAACACAGGTGTTCTTTTAATAGAGGTGGTCTCTCAAGCAGGTTTGACTTTATAACAAAATATTAGCTGAAGTAATTTCTGAACAATTTAATGTTTAGTGAAACTTGTCTAATCTGACCCCAGAATAGTACAATAATTACCACTCTCTAATACATCATAATGGTGTAATCCCGATTCTGATGACGGCTATGATAGAAGTCCTTTGTATTCTGATGTCCTGCTCCATCAGACCAATTTGTTGTGGGCTTACCAGGTGTTGGATTAGATAGGTTTTTGCTGTGTCTTTAAATCTGAGCAAGAATATGACCTTGAGAAAATTAATATTATAGTTTTTAGAGTGTGTATGGTAATATGTTTTATTAACTGGAGAGGTCAAAGATGGAGAATGTTTGAGAAAGGGGTCGATTGCACTGAAAAAAAGGGGATGACCGCTTATAGGCTCAGGAGTGTTAATTACGATGAATGCATTACCAGGTACTGGCCATGACTATTTACCCTGTATACCATATGTAAATAACAAACTGTATTCTTATAGATTGTTACCTTTCACTAGATTCAACATGAAGTCAAGGGCTATTTTAAAATTTTAAAATACATTTGTGTATAAGTGGAAGAAGCAAGTTTAATTGGATATCTGGTGGCCCCAGCTGATAAGTGAAAGGTCGCTTTGATATTCCATTGAAAATGCTGTGTAAGTCAGCTTCTTTTGGCCAATTCACCTTTAGTTGAGATCACTGGGCAACGGTTTCCATCGTAATTATTCTGACGCTAAACAGAAAATCAATGGAGCCGTCGTTTATTTAATAAAGCGATGCAGGTGAACAGATAATTTTATATGGACTATATTTAAACATCCTGCTACAGGTCCAGTCTTATTTGACCGTTATCATGTAATGACCGAGATTATTGACGTCAGCTGGACAAACATAAGGTTCCTGCACTTGGCACTTGACTGTACTAAATAACCTGTGGGAAACAACCATCTGTACATGTTATATGTGACCTTTGTCATTGGAGCCTTGTATCAGATGCTGGTGCCCTATAATATTCATGGTGGTTGTCTGCTTATCCACACTTTCGTTTCCGAAGATTATCTCAGCGTCCCAAAATCATTTTGAAATTTTTCATGGTAGGACACTGTGATAGGTCGATGTTCAATAGGGGTTTACAAAGTTTATAAAGTCAAGGTCACAGTTACTAAAAATAGGTCCATGGGGACAATCACAGTCTGTATCTTTTAATCTAAAGACAAACTTCTGTTTTTAATTTTACATGGTGATACACTTCAAGTAATTTAAGTCTATAAGGTCAAGGTCACTTTTACTAAAAATGGATTATTGGGCGATGTCCTTACCTCAAAATGCTTTTTTTTTTTTTTAAACTAGACATTCTTCGTTAGGATTTCGATGGTATTCTTATCCTGTTAAAGAAGTGGGAGAAAAACAGTCAGACATTGTAAAGGTCTGCAGATACGTATTTTCTACCGTAAGGTATCGAAACAGGGGTGGAACATTTTTTGACCCAAATTGTACACCTACGATAATATCCATATCCCCCATACCTATACAGATGATAGAGAATCTCCATATCCCCAATACCTATACAGATGATAGAGAATCTCCATATCACCCTTACCTATACAGATGATAGAGAATCTCCATATCCCCCCTACCTATACAGATGATAGAGAAACTCCTTATCCCCCGTACCTATACAGATGATAGAGAATCTCCATATCCCCCATACCTATACAAATGATAGAGAATCTCCATATCCCCCATACCTATACAGATGATAGAGAAACTCCATATCCCCCGTACCTATACAGATGTTAGAGAATCTCCATATCCCCCCTACCTATACAGATGATAGAGAAACTCCATATCCCCCATACCTATACGGATGATAA